CTTCTCTTCCTCTTTTGGAAAAGTTATGTTTTCTGGAACTTGTTGAACCATTCTTTCCCAGCAACGATGAAGCAGAAAAAAAAATACATATTAAATAAAAGTGAGAAAAAATGACTTCACAAATACAATTTTTGGTCTTACAAATCCATATCACCAAACCACAACTTAGTTTTTCAAAGAGTATGAATCAGTGTGGGCATGGAAGCAAGCGCTATATTCTAAGAAAACCCTAATAATTTTGACAGACTAGCACCAAAGTTTTGTAACAGAAAAAGGATCCTCCATTCACTCAGTTATGGTCATTCATTTTTATTATGCTTTTATTTTCGTTTCCTATAGCAAGTAGTCAAAGGCCAAATTATTTTTCGATTACAAGTTTGGGTTTGTTTTTCTTTACGAAAAGTTTCCAAGTTCAAACTGACCTTTCAGCATCAGTTTGTGAATTAGTGAGACTTCAGTGCAGGAACTAAAACCAGTGAAGAAGAGGCTCCTTTCTACTGACCATCTAATCCTACCATTTAAAGGTATAAAATCGCATTTTTCCATCTAAGTAGGCCACCATTCCCAGATGGTCCTAAAAGCAGCTAGACCTCAGATAGCATCATTGAGACACACAGCACTGAATAACAAACATGTGGGAAGAAGTCGAACAAACAGATGAGGAAAAAGCTCAAAGACCTCAACTGCACGTCCTGAAAAGCTCTAACTTCCAGAGTACTGGCACAACTACTAGCCTTTTTTCTTTTCTTTTCAGTATTACAAGTATGTCAGAACTAAGCTACAAAGGGGCTATTTCTTGCTGCCCATTTCCTGAGAGCCTTTTTTTATTTGGTGGGGTTTAGCCACAAGAGCCAAAAGCCATTCTTCAATTCTGGGTAAGTCAACGAAAATCACTGCAAGCAAAATTATGTACGAGCTCTTGTCACTAGACAAGGAAGAGAATTCCCAACATCATTAGAAACATGCAATAGAGCAGCCTGGTGTTCAAAGGGATCAAATTTCAACAAAATGCTACACAAAGCATGAAGCAAAAGCTCTGTGGAATAAGGATTTTTAAGACAGGAGTTCCATAACAGAAGAAAACTCGTTATGAAGGTTATAGCAGATGACTGCAGAGAAGAAACATGGTCTCCCACCTCTTACCAGTGCTGCTGCTCCTTAGCACTTACACCAGAATGAGCTGAGCACTACACATTAGCCTCAAGTTTTGCTTAGCATTATAGAATTACAAGCAATGGCACAAGGACCTAGTCTTCTGATGTACTCAGGTGTGTTAAATAGCAACCATAAGCAGCAGCAAATGCAAACACACAAAGACAATATGTCAAGTTACAGCTGACACGCTGCTTGGTAGCGTTAAAGTTCCAAAACATTTACTTAAATGAAACCCAGACCACCACAGAACTTGCCAGCTCAATACTTGAACCCATCTGAAAAAAGGTGCCCCAAAATGAAGCCTACAGGTAAATTCCACCATTCATACTTTTCATATTAATGACGGATCATTCTACCCACTAATAAACCAAAAATATCAAAAAAGACAACAAATTATTTGAGAAATCCATAACCTGGTACACAGGCGACACAGCAGCTGGAAGGGAAATCCCAGGCTGACAAGGAACACATGGACATGGCCTGGATATATTCTTAAAAAGGTAATAATCAGTCTTAGCTCAGTAAGTTACAGTATATACAACTTGTACGTGAGTTTTCACCATCATATCTCAAAGCACTCAACAAAGCACTAATTAGGCCATGCCACTGCTCAGTGATTTGATCACAGCCCCAAGATCACAGTGCTGAAGACAACAGAGATGATAAAAGAATTCAGCCTCAAAGCTTACGTCCTACAAGCCAGCTGACTTGAGAACTAAGGATCTGCACATCCTACTTAGATCAAGCTCAGCGTTCACAATAACTGCAAAGGTTTGGGCAACCGGTCCAGCTGTCAGCTACTCATAATCTGATAAATTAAACAGAGGTTCAAGGTCTGGTCTGTAACTGTGACCGGGCTATGGAAGCTGCTCACGTATCACAGACTCCATGCGTAAATCACAGTATCACTTTTGGCCCATTTCTACCAACTGAAGCACTGTAAGCACAAACCAGTGTCCAGTAACCACAGGGCACAAATTCATACACACTTTTATCAATATTAAAAAAGAAGTTTATTATGTCAAATCTAGGGAAAAAAAATTACTGATGAGAATTACTACGTAACAATATACATAACACAGGTCAGTTTTTTCAAGTTACAAAACAGGATTTTAAACGGATTGATTTAAAAGACAAACTACATTTAAAAATCTATCTAAGGTCAACCTCAGTTAAGCAAAAAAGCAAAGACTTCTGTGTTCAGGAAAAGCATGATCAGTTTATAGACAGAGATGCGAATAATTCCGTTTACTTACAGTAAGAAAAGTTCATTGCTATAAGCAATCTAGGTATTTTAAACCAGAAAAAAAACAAGGACAACTCAGTACCTTGAACACAGACTGAGTGGAACACATCACAAACGATATTACAGAAATTATTATACAAATGCATCTAATAAAACAACACTTTTGGACAATACTCCTAACTTTACATACAGATTAGTAAACACAAGGGGGTTTTGTCTTCTTGTTTCTCTATTCATTTTCCGCTGACAAAAAGTGTTCACGTTTAAGACAATGCACCACAGAGAACTTTTTAAAGTATACTCACTTCTTCCAAAAGACAGTAACATTCAATAGGAGAGGTGTCAAAGTTTGTAGATTGGACTACAGCAGTATCAAACTTATGCTGGGCTTCTTTTCTAGAAGACAAAAAAAATAAACAAGCATTGTGGGTTTTTTCAATATTTTCTTTTAAAAAAACACAATATTTGTTTTTTAAACAAAAATTCAATAAAAATACCACTATGGATGAAGTGAAGCAATATTTCAGAAATTCGTTGGACTTAACATACATCACATACAGACAGATGACTAAACCAAAGCGGATTTCAATATATTATTCATTTTTGACTGAGAAACTGAAAAGATCAAGAATCAGTATAACCTAAAAGCCACAAAAGGTCTCCTAATTTCAAGAGGTTTATGATCAGTCTCTTATCCTTGTTCCAGTCACCTTCTCTCACAAACTATTCCATGTAAGAGACCTAGGCACAAACTTCCTTCCAGAGACAAGGAGGAGCCTCCTTTCTTCTTCTTCAGATGCCTTCCTCAAAGTTAAACAATGCACTATTTCACATCCACGCAGAACTAAGCTCCCCATGTCTGCCTTTTTAGGTACAGAGCTTTGAAGCAAGGCAATTTCTGAGGTAACAACATTGTAAACTGTTCATCTGATAACCAAAAGCACCCGTTTCTAGAACAGATGGAAACAGCCAAGTTTAAAATAAAAGGATGGATGGACGGGAACAGAAGGCTAAGCTACGGAACAAACCGTTGCTTCTGAAAATCTTGTGCTAATGCCTTATACAGGGAACAAAACTGCAACACTAATCAAGGACCTGAGAACGGGTGAGAAAAAAACCCAAACCAATCACGCACATCTGTCTTTAAAACCTCTTTTTAAACTGATTAATCTCATCCTACTCGAACTAGCACTTGATATAAACCACCAAGTAGTTGGAAATGCAAGAATAAACTTAGTAAAAAAAAAAATTGAGCAACCAGTTTTCTTCTCCCAAAGGACAAAAAGCTGCCACCCTCATGGCCAGTCTTCCCAACACTGCAATTTATAAGTGTAATTACTTCAGGAGAGAATTAAAACCATGGTTTTCTTCACAAAAGTTCTGGGTTTGATGGTAACATAGAAAATTTATATTTACACCTTATTCATGGCAGACTGATAATGGCCTGATTATTGCACTCTTCTATTTGATGTGTCACAAAACTGAGGAGTTACAGACTTTTCTTACTGAAAAATATGCTCCAAAGTGAGCAGATCAGAAAACTGAAGTGGGAAACTAGGAAGTGACAGTTTCTAATTTCTAAACAGGTAATTGAAGTCTACTCAAGCTGAACGTGACACCTGAGGATGAGTTAGGGAAAGTGCATCACGATTAACTCATCTCAGCATATCACTTAAGATGAAACACTAGCTGAGACGGACTATAGCCCATCCGTCCCCAGCAAGGAGTGTTTCTTTGTATGCTGAAAAGCCAATTAAAAGATTGCTAAAACAGTGAGCGGACTCATAAATTAATACTATGTTTAGACACAAATATATTTCATACCATGCAAAAACTCACTATTACGCTATATCTTATCACGCCTTAAGCAATTTTTTCTGTTGTCTGCATACTATCTTGATTAAAAGTATAAAATCTGTCATTGGGAAAAAAAACCACACTAGGTCATTTTGAAATAACTTTGAACTATGTATTTTTAAAAAAATCAGAAACTAGCATCAGTTGAGTCAGCAAATACTGCTGTTACGTGCCAACTAAATTCTGCTATTACCTGACAGTCACTTCCTAAGCATGCCACCAACAAACAGAAAAAAATACGCTTTCTTCAGATTCCGGAAGGCTCCCAGCAGGTGGGGGAGCCAACATTTGCTGAAGATAGAAATATCAAGTTCATCACAGCTACAGTAATCGAAAGCATGCCTTCCTCAAAAAATTTCCTCTCTATTAAAAGGATGAAGTGGAATGCTTAAGAGGTATTACACATTGCAATGCATCTTAAGTTCTTCATTCAACTAATGAATGAAATGGAGCCTTGATAAGTATTAGACTTTGCAATAAGGAAAGTGGTTAACCTTTAATAGGAACCTATGTTAAGTAATCACTAAATTTCAGAAAAAGCAAATTTGTATAGCACCCAGAGAAGTCCAATAGTAGAATACCTTATACGTAAACTAAACATCAAGTTTTAAGCACAGAATACATTAGCTCTAACGCCTGGAAAGGCGCTAATAACGCCAAAATCCAGCAGCAAAGCTGCCAG